AATCTTCCATCTTACATCTGCATTCGTTGTTCTTCATTTCTATCCTTTGTCATCTTCATCACCCTCTATTCGGACTCTGAAGCATGAGCAATCAATTGTTAATTGCGTTTTGCTTGTATTAAACTAACGTGGGACGCTTAGGCCGTTTTTATTGTCATGTTTCGTGGAAATGCGCGGCCTCCGAGGGATATTGCAGAAGCAGCACAGTTGCTCTTGAGTTCTGGCCCTCGTCATCATCTTCGGCTTTTGTTTTGCAGCACCTAAAATGCTATCAGCATCAGGAAATTGCGTTTTAGAGTCCGGCATTTTTTCCAGGTGTAGGTTTAGGCGACAGTTGTTTGAACTGTTGTTAAGCCGCTCACTGTATGAGGCACTCTTTTCTGGGGTTCCTTCCAAACTTCTATTAGCTTTTACGACCCCCCCCCTCCATCGGGGGCAAATACGACCCCCTCCCCGTTGTGATGATCACAACGATGGCGTGCGTTGAATCCAACCCGCTGAACATAAATGTGATGGTATTTCATTGCAATAACCTTTCTGACATGAGCTACGAGGGCAGCACAAGCACACTTTCAGGCCCCAATGTGGCCACAAGTACACTCCTTATCTCTGAGCCAGAGTAGGCGTGGCATTTTAACATGGCACGGAACTGGTTACTCGTGGAATACTCCAGTCTGGGACAACTGTCATCTTGTTCTCTGTTGGACAGAGACACGACAACAATTGTGTCAAGATGAAAATATCTCACCAGAAGCACACGCCTTCAGGTTAAGTTGAAGCACGCAGCCACGCCTACCCGATCTCAGGGATTCCGAGTATATGTGCCTTCAAATGGCATATACTTGACTTATTTCCCACTGCCAGAAGGCACGCGAATGAATAGAAAGCTGAAAAGTGCAAAAAATCTTCCGCGTGGAGGATCCGATCCGAAGTCCCCCCTTGCAGTGCCATCCAAAACACGCCGTGTTATCCACTGCTCCATCCGATACGCTGGCAGTGGTCGTGAAGGGAGCGCTGAGAAAAACATCACTCTTGCGTCGGTGCATGCCAAGTGTGTTACCACATGATACTTACATTTTGACTTTAATCGAATCTATTTTGAGGCCTAATTAGTGACCACCTCATAAACTATGCATGCTCGAAGTTACAAGCAGAAAGGAGCCCATTAAGGTTGTTAAAACCGCCCATTCTTGTCAAATTCTTTTCACTCAGTTTTTGACCTACCCAGAAACGCATAGCAAAAATGAAACCCATTTTTGTGATCCTTGTATGGACCCCTACAACAAGCAACAAACCATTTCCAAAAAGCGCGCCACGACCTGAAAGACCGCCCTTGTAAGGGAAGAGGGTTTTGTTCAGGGCGTTCTAAGAATAGCAATGAGTCAACTAGCTAACACTTTTTTCAACCTCGTTACTTATGTTTCACACTCGCGGATTATCTTCAGAAATAATGTTTGCACCTCCTCTGACCAAGATCGTTGCATGCACGAGAAGAACAGCAGCTGTACGATTCTACCACTCCCGTCACTTGAAAAGGAGCAGAAATGAAGCTGAAGGCAACCGGAGTGGACTCCACACTTCACCCTCGCTAACCTCAATGCAGCACTTGTAAAAAGGTTCTGCAGCTAGCACTTAGTCAGAGGTAGAGCAGAAGTGAGAGGGCTCGGACAAGTGGCACGTTTGGCCGTGGTTAGGCGTCTTGCTGGTTGTGTTGCCCGGTAAGCAACCGGATATCGCTACTTTCCAGCTCCATTCCCGTTCATTACTCAGCTGTGAGCATGCTTTCGCAGCTGCGGGGCCATTCACATCGTGACAAGACTGTGGTTGTGAGTGTGCGAAGTGTCTTCAAGGAAAATTACACAGGTGAGGCGTACATAATGACAAGCAAGACTCCCTGCTCCAACGATGCTCCTCTTTATTTGATGTCGCCGCAATGTGTCGGGGCCGTGTCCGGAGTAGCGACATGAGCCTTCCTTCGACTTCCTTTCTCTGCCCTTTTTGGGATGCGACAGGCGTCCTACTTCCATTCAGGATCGTATAGGGTTATTGAATGCGGTGGGGCCTATGACTTGCGTGGCCAACCGAATGTGTAGGTCACTATTTTTTCCTGCCAGACCAATTTGTTACCAATTCCTCAGGGGTAGTATGCTTGGTGGGCCGGGCGGGAGCCGTTCATGGACTTAATTCCCGGACCACGCGCTCCACTTACCACTTCACCGCTTCTGCTTCACCCATTAGGGATCGGCTACTGAGTGATTCAGACTACTGGTGGTGAAAACGGTGGATGGGCTCATTCCACCCCTCTTGACCAATGGACGGCGTACGCTGAGGACTCCCAGCTAGGAGATGGGTTGCGTTGATCGCTGAAGAGGAAAGTCGTATTTGTCTCCGGTTTAAGGGCTTTGGGTTGTTGTTTTTTTCTGTCTTTCCTTTTTTAAATGCGCTATAACTCCCCTACCTTTTAATAACTCAATAACTCTCGACAAGAGCTCGTACCACAGGAACTCTCACCAACGGCAGGACGTGCTTTGCTCTTGACACCATCGCGACGGATTTTGATGATAGTAAAGTATGTAGCAGCCAGCGCTCTATCACTGTCTACCTCGTCGTGGAAAGATGCAGCCGTCCAACATCTCCAGAAAGCCTAGAGTACTTGCATAGCCTGAGTAGCGTACTACACTCAGAACCCCTGAGATGCGGTAGACGTGGCTGCATACTTGAACTGGACATGGCGCTGGCTGACCTTTACGGGAGATATTTTGATTTTGGGAAAGTTGCATTCATGTCTTTGTCCTACACAGAACAATTTTACAGCTGCCTCAGAGTTAAAACCACGCCTACTCTGTCCCAGGGATGAGTAGTAAACTTCTTTAGGGAAACCCCATCAGAAGGTCGTACTTGGTCGCTGTGGAGGTGGGTCGTGTTTGCTTTGAGTAGACATTTCCCGATCCACAAGGAAATTTTTCAACACTTTATCGGCTTTTTTTGTGTTTCGTATGTGCCCTCAAGCTGCCTGCCGCCGCCAAGAACTAGCGTAAAACTATTATTTCTGATAATTCTCGTCAGTTGGTTGTTAATGAAGACCTTTCTGTGCTCAAAGCTAGAAGTCTTTTGACGAAAACTGGTCAATGTTTCGGAACACTGAAAAAATGGCTAGAAAGTTAAGAAAAGTAAGGAAGACGGTATTAAGGATAGGGAAGTGGATCGCAAGACGAGGAAATGGGAGCCGGGAGGGAGGGGGTCAAACCGCACCGCCATTTCACATATCACGTTGCTATATCCTCGGCGGAAAGCCGCTGCCTAGTTTATGGAGACTTGTGATCTGCTCAGGACACGTCCTCCCGCTGAAGGAACTTTTCGTGCTACGATTTCACCCCACCCCCCCAATTTCGTCCTCCGCTATGATTCTCCCCCCCCCCCTTTTTTCCCCAGCACCTATCATCTTGCCAATTTTCCAAGCTTCCCACCACTTTTACCGCAACATCCCAAAAATTTTCCATTTTTTCCCCAAAATTTTGCCGTCGCCAAAAAACTTGTCACCAACCAAATTGTCCCCATTTGTCACCAACCAACTATACTACCTTCAACTATCGAAAATAGGAGTTGTTAGTAGTTGTGTAGTAGCTCTTAATGTTAGAGCGCGATAAATCCCCAAAACGTGTAGGATTATTATGCCCAGCAGGTGCCCGTGAGAAGCGCTGCATGGCAGCCTACTCAAGGAAACTCATAGCGCTCCATCAGGCCGTAATATACCGACCCGGACGCCCACGCGCCCCCTGCCCATACTTGTTCGATGCTTGAGGAGATTAAGAAGGAGGGCACAGAGAAGGAAGGAAAAGAAGGGAGGAAGAAAAAAGGAAAGAGAAGAGAGGCTCCGCAGTTGACAAGTGCCCTAAGATGCGGGTACTCGTCCAGAATGGCTTCCCAAGTCGTATAGAACAAAGGTTTCTTCTCAGTTTGTGACCGTTTCACTTCGCTTTTCGGCATATTCCCATAGCACCCGTGCTAATGTTCAGACCGACTACCAAATTATTGTTCCTTATGACCTTAAACATCTTCCCCCGAGTAGAGGAGAGGGATATAACAGGACAAATCAACTACCAAAAAATTTCCCATATCGAATAGACCCACCTTCCATCCATTCGTGCCCTGGAAGATACAGTAAAAGAGCAGTGTCTGATGTGAATGGCCATAGCCACGCTTACCCCTTCACACCGTAGGTATAACTTTTAAGGGTAAGCTACGGGAGCAAAGTGTTGTTTATGCCTTCCCCGTGAATGTGTTCACGATCCCTTCATCATAAGATGAATTGGGGTCCCAACAACATTTGAGAGTAGCCTCCCATGTGAAATTCAAAAATGCCCACTTTTTATGCGAACCACCTTTTGTAGTTGTGCCCGTGAGAAAAATATCTTCTTCGCACCACACCTGCCTCCCCCTCCCCTCCCCAAATGATATGGTCTAACAGGAAGTGAGAAGACTTTCGTAAGGACATATATCATTAATATCGTGACACGTAATGCCTCACAACTTGTGAGAAATACATTCTGCTCACGGGACTTCTATACATTATCGCCAATATTTGCATCTTTTCCATCTCTCCCAGCTGCGGGTCCCGCCGCGCGCAGATCGATCTTTCACCGGCCGCGGCCGTTCGAGGCGGAGCTACTGAAAAATTGAAATATTTGCACGAGTTATTGATCATACTGTGGTCTTTTGCCTTGTTTTAAGTTACTGGGACTACAATGACTCTGATTATACGCTAGATAATATGCTTAGAACCAACCTGAGATACAAAATCCTGCTCTTAGTAGTCTTGCGATAATTTTTATTCACATGATTCCATTCTTGCTTCTCTGTGGTGTTTATTTTTTGTTCTTCGTTCGACTAAGGTTGTAAATTGCAGCATCCTGTAATGAAGAGCTTTATTATTCAACATTTATCCTGTCGTGGTCGTTCAAGGCCTGCTTCTTTTTATTTTCTAACTTGTTGTCTTCAGGATGCGGGTACTTCTTACGGTGTTAATAGCCGTATCATCAGCAACAGCCTTCGATGGTGTTGTATTCTCCAGTGAGCAGCAAATTACGTGAGTAACTTTTGAAACATGATTTTTCAATACTCTCAGTTTTTATTACTCAGTTTTATTTTCACGGGGAAATCATAGCTGGCTGTAGCAATCGTAAACTACTAGCTTCTTCCCGGATTTTTCCCCTTGATTTTTTCGAAGAGTAACGGGTTTTCCTTAACATGTGGCCTCTTCACTGTTGCAGTTTTCGTTTGCTAGGAAAGGGCTTCAACACAGAACAGGTTCTCTCTGACCCGCTCTCCTTTTATTTTCTCAATCTTTTTTTCTGTTGGTAACGTGGATTGCACATTGTTTTGTTTTGAGCGCGGTAAAAGTCTTGTAGGTACTATAATTCCGTAGAAATCATACTGAGCCAAGTTTGGAGCTTTTTTAGTTGGCTGTCGAGAAGGGTCGTACTTTCTTTCGGGCTTTATGGTACGCATGGCGATTATCCCGAAAAAATCTTTGGCACTGGTGTTTGTACATGAATCGAATTACACTCAACAATAAAACTAAAGGCTCTAACATAGTCGGGGGGGGGGGCAGGACACCTCAAGCTTATTCCCTTTCAACGCATCGGTCTTCTGTTTTTCTCTGCACTCCTTCATCCGTACGGCTTTCATAGTTATTGTGCCCCCACGCATTCTACCTTTTCACAAGTGATGAGTGGCCAACCTACCCTGGGGTCCCCTCACCCAAAAAAGCCATATCCTGACTCGCATGCTTCCTGCATCTTTCGATGCTTTGGCAATAGCTGTCATCTATCTGTCTGCATTACATAATCTCGCAACAGGATCGCGCGCAAAAGTTGAAACGTAACCGCGAGGTGTGAGAATCCACTCTGCGCGGTGTCCCCTTCTTGAAGAGCCTAGGCTTAGAGCCAGACGACAAGCGTCGCCGAAGGAAGGAATAGAGAGGCGCTGGCGAGGGTCCTCCACCCCTCCCCCAACTGCATTAGCGCCTAAACGAAATTCTACGAAGTCGAGTACTAAGACTGAGTGGGTTTCCGAAGCGTGCCAGTAAGTTTGCAGTTTCCACCATTCGCCCCTGGATGCCGCGTCTATTTCTAGCGGTCGACGTCATGTTGGAACGGTTTTGTCAGATGAAATTCGTTCATCACGTTTTCAGGAAGGAATTTCCGACTATCGAGAACTTGATATCAACTGCTTCACCAGAAAAACCGGTCGTCTTCATCGTCAATCCCGACTTCACATTAGGTTAGTTGCTGACTTTCTACCTTTTTCCAATCGGGAACATCGAAATTTTAATTTTCAACTCTCAGTCAATGAACTGTAAACAAAACAAAAGATGACAATGAGCGAGAAGGATGTTTTTGAAGAATCGTGATTACACCAAAGCTTTCCATTTCCTTATATGGTTATTGCCTCAACACGCATGGCATACATACCCGAATTGAAGCAGTTTACTGTTTGTATCACTCGCTTTCTACAAACTATTGTAACATAGTCACTTCGACAACTGGCAAAAAACGGGTTTGGCGCCGCTCACACGCATACCGCCGGAAATGCCCCTTCAGCCGCAGGGAACTGAAGTATAGGTCCGTCATAATGATGATTGTATGATTCGTGTATGATTCGTCATACAAGAAAGGGGCGGAAAAGGCTTGTAGCGGCACATAGCGCTGCGTTCCACTTAGCTATGCGTGTTCCACCCGATCTTTCCGTCAAATTGCAAGTTCTGTACGTCATAGGCTAAGCTAGAGGATGAATCGGAATTTGCAGCTTAGAAAGTGTGGCACAGAATAATAATTTTCTGTCAAATAAATATTACACAAAATGAAAACCGCTCGAAAGTATGTGTGTTGCCAACGCGAAATGTCCTTTCAGATTTGATCAGGATAATTTGAGGTTTTCGATACAATAAAATTTCTTCGGCATTGTTTCGAACCACTCAATGTATATCTTTTTGAAAATGCCTCGCCTCGGAAAAGTGGGTATCTGTACTAGAGTGAACTGACTATCGGATAAGTAATTGAAAACTCAGTCCAAGTGGCCCGGATGGCTCATGTTGTGGTGAAAAAGTGGCCGAAACAGCCCCCTATGTGCTTTCTGAAGGCATTAAATTTCGACGAAATATGGAGACTGATTATTAACATGTTCCAGTCCGCGTGACACACATGGTGTTTCATACGTATCTTTCAATATGGTCTATTTAGCATTATTTCATGTTCTAAAGTTACCCTAACACGTCTTTTGACAAGGAATCTGCCATACGCAGCAGGATGCTTAGTGAAGCTTCCATGTTTTTCAGGGCAGTTCTCGCGAGAGGCTTCAGCATATTCGAAGGATAAGCATTTGTCCGGCCTTCCTGCCACTGTGAAGGCCTCTTCTCATCATGCTTCGCGATACTTCCCGAAAAGCTTCCATGTATGTGTCGTCGTTTTTCGTTGATTCTTTTGTGTGCAGAATCTTCTGTTCACCTACGGTATTTAGGCTCCTGATGCAGTCATCATTGCATCACCAGATGCTTTCACTTCTGGTGCTGCCCTCTATATCCTCCAGGGAGAAGACTGGAAAACAATGGAGAATCTCGCAGAAGCTGTTCTTCCAAAGTTGGGAAGCAAGTACACTGCTGTGATTACGGCTAGCGAAGCAGTGTTCGGAGATCTGGTAATTTTCTAGGTCTGGCTAATTCAGATTTTTTTTCTATAATCGTATTTTTTTAGGCAAGAAAGAAGCGTGTATTGACATCTGATATGGAAAACGACGATGCGGCGCCATCAGGATCCCCCTCACCAGATGCTGCAGAAGGTATACCGTTTACAGGAAGATCTACCGATTAGTTAATTTGGATATGAGCTCTTGCGTCAGGTCCCGATGTCGCTATGCCTCTGAATTTGCCTCCGTACAACAGAACTGAGTACCCTTCTGTGAAGCCACTAGGGTGAGGTTTTTTCTTCATTCTTTGTCTTTTGAATCCATGATTAGTCACTGGAATTAATGTATTCGTAAACCAAGGAACCTTTGCAGGTATTCCTAAGAGAAGTGTTATTTCAATCTTTTCGCTTTTTGATCCGACCGAGTTCCTCACATGTGCGCTTGAAAGCGCACACGGCGATCATTAATATCTATGCATTTCTTGAACAAGGCGGTCTTGTCCGCGGGTACAGAGGATGGACCATTTTTGCGGCCTGCGCACCGCCCAGTACGCCCAGGGCTCATTTCTGATGGTTACATGATGGTCCGCAAAAAAACTGATATTATAATACGAGCAGTGATAACTCGTCCAAGCACGCGCTCTCTTCTCTCTTATGCTTGTACGAGTTACGGAACGACAAGGATCTTATCTCAATCATTTCCCATGAGTTTCTCCGCCTTCCCCTGCACTACTGAGCTGCTCCTCTCCTTGTCAATCGTTGTTAAGCCCATAACATCTTCTATCGCTTAGTGTGACTACGATTTCTCAAGTGTTCTCAACCAACTTAACCAAAATGTTGTAGTGTACCACACCTATGATACTTCAGTGTCTGAAAAAGGTGTGAAACATTTGAAATGTGTTTTAAAAAAACTCGAAAAGGCAAAAATTCTAACAGTCCCTTCGAATCATTTATCTAACCATTTAGTACTTACTATTAGCACCTTCGTCCCATTTTTCATCAATGGTATTGACTTTAAAGAGTACACGATTTATTCATTTGTATTCTCCATATTTATCCTTTTTCGCCTCAATATTTTGCTTCTCTAATGAAAGCTATTATCCTTTTGTTTAGCGCAGGACTGGGATCGTGTCTTTTGTACATGGAGGGGGTTAACATTGTTGTGCAGAATGCTAAGAGGGCCTTTGCCACAATTCCGATACGAGCGAATGAAACCACATGGTCAGTTTTCTTGCGCTGCTTTTGGAAATGGTTTTACGTGGAGCCTAAAATACATCTTCAGGAACTACGCGGATGGCGATGTTAGTTGTGTCAACGGTACCGTAGGCGAATACAGGTACGGGAATTCAGTCGATTATTTTACCTGCAATGTGTAAACACGTTCATTTTTATCTCATTTGAAGATTCACCGTACGTATGAAGCTCAAGTCAGACGTGGCTGATTCTAAGAGTCAGGTCAAGATAAGCTCTGGAAGTCAAATCATGTTCACGTGAGTATCAAGAATTTCAAATATTTGGGAAATGATAATCTCTTAGCATGATGATGATTTCTCAAGTTCCGATTAGCGGGGGCTCCAATATTTTTATTCACAATAAACATGCTAGTTTTTTTTCTTTCACCATATGTTTATAGATATATGAAAAAAGAACGTCTCAGGATACATGTCAACCGCGAGACCTCCCTCCTCCCTTTTTTCTACCTCCTTCTCACTTCGCTCTTCCTTTTCCTTCTGTCTTCATCTCAGTGGACGCTATGGGAAAATATCTCTGGACCCTCGTAGCGAGGGTAGCGGTTGACAAGTATCCTGTAACTTACGAGAAAAGCTAATAGTGTCTCTGGAGAAGCGCACTATCCCGAGCAAGCGTATAAATGAGTGATAATCGTTACTTCTTTCCTTTTGGAATGCGCCACGCAGTTTTATTCCATTCACAGTTCTAATGGCTTTCCAATGTGATATGGCGCTTACAGTGACTCACCAGCTCGATTTGAACAATCGACTTGAGTTGAGAGCTACACAGTTAGAATTAGCGCTTTATCATATCTGACGGACCTAATACCAATACACTGACCCCTGAAGAACGAAGGTGTTAGGTCTGATTGGTATTTGGTCGAAGATTTGCTCGCAGGCCTTGTGCGTGGGAGGCAGGCTGCCTACCGCTCCACTACCTCGTCTTAGCGAAAATACGCTGGTGTGGGTTTATTCGAGTTACCTTCTGGTACTTGTTGAGAAAAATTTTTTACTCAAAAACAATTGATTTTTTTTTAGTTTCGTTCTTTTTCATTAACCGTGTTATCAATGTCTGGTCCGGTGTCACTGAACTTTTTTGAGCATGTTTCTTCGAATTATTTCCATCTTAACTTAGGCTCGTTTTCAACGGAACAAGCGCAGGTTACTGGCAACTTAGTGATGTTATCGCAAACAAGCTATCTGTTGAAGGAGTTTCCCAAGGTTTCCTCAGCGGGGTGAGTTTCATCTTCTTTTCGGACATGTTTCAAGCGATTAAATTGTTGCTTAAAATGAAAGTAGAACTTAAAATAGAACGATAAAAACTATTTCCATAACCTGTTTATATTACAGACTGCAACTGCACAGGAGAAAGCCATCTCTTATACTTCAGTGCAGAATGTTGGCTTTAACAGTGTACAAGGATTCGCTATTGCTTGTAGTGATTCCCAAGCAGCATTCTTCAAGACCAAAAATCAAGACAACGTTTTGATCGGCATATCCCTGTACAATACAGAGGTCAGTTTACAGTTGATTTTGTCCTTTAAATCTCCGTGAGCTCTCCATATGTTCTATTACGATTTTCAAGGTTCAACCGTTTGCCGTTTATCCGGACAAGAAGACTCAGCAAATGTTTTTCACCAGACAAGTAGATGACTGCGTGGGAACTTTTTCAGTTGGGTCTTGGATGGGTGCGTTTTTTGAGTGTTTTCTTAGATTTATATTGCTATTGATGATCTTCTCCCGAGTATGATGGTGAACCTAATTCTGTAATGTAGCTGCCTGCCACGACGTCTTCTTACCCATCCATGAGATGAATTGCTATCACTGAACCAGTCGGCTTCGCCGGCTGACACCGGCGCGCCTCCTTCGGAGATAGAGTACGGTTTCGTCGAGCGGGCGCCTTTACCTTCTTCCACACATTTCATTAGCCGCCTAGTATCAGGCTTTTCTTTTACCTGAACAGGTGGTCAACATTCTTTGACCAATAGCATCATACCTGCTCCTTTCAACACTATTACGGTGTATGGAGTGGTGGTAAGGAGCGTTGATCAAGTGGACAGATGAGAGAAAAGCCGGGTATTAGTCGAGCATTTGATCATACGAATGCAGGCAGGCGCGATGGAGCCACGCCCCGCAAACCGGGCCGTATCACATAGGAACTGGCGTGCCTGGATTGCCGGGCCGTATCACATAGGAAC